TACAGCCAGGGCTGCAAAGATGGGGTGGCGTGTCCCACATTGCCCAGCACCACTAATTTCACTCAGGTGTTATTCAGATTATTTCAGAATAACTATTTATTTGTCCTCACCCAAAATGTTTTCAGTAAGTTCACGTAAATGTGGAAGTTGTTCTATAGTGCTAGTATATTTGGATCAGTTAGCATAGGGAGTGGTGTTCTATAAAGAATAATGGCTAATATTGGACTAGAAATGTTGAATTTATTTTTTTCCATTTGTACAGGGGTAACACACTGTATTAAATATGTAAGGTCTTGCTGGGCAGTGGTGGCGCATGCCTTTAATCTCAGCACTCGGAAGGCAGAGGCAGAGGCAGAGGCAGGCGGATCTCTGTGAGGTCGAGGGCAGCCTGGTCTCCAGGGCGTGTGCCAGGATAGGCTCCCCAGGATGATGTGGTAGACTTTGGGGAGCCCCTTTTGAGGTCCTTACCTTGCCTGGGGAGTGGAGGGGGGATGGGCAGGGGCAGGTGGGATGTTGTGGGGGAGGGGAGGGAGAGGGAGAAGGGATTGACATCTGAAGCAAGCTTGTTCCTAATTTGAACTAATAAAATAAAATAAAAAAGAATAGTGGCTAAAAAAATCAATAAAGAAGTAAAAATAATTTTAGTTCTCAGAACCATATAACTTAATCAAAGGAAAAATTAAAATATGCACCTGGTAAGGATAGAATGGCCTCCTGTTAGGTGTACAAAATTTTATACCTAAAGTCATGGAAAATGGCCTAATGACAGAATTACCAGGAAACTCCTCTCTTTCCCTCACTATCTATTCATAGCTTCCACTGCTTCTAATGATAGATGATCTAGTAGGCTCTCAAATATTAAAAGTGGCCACAACTACCTGATGGTCCCAAACCCCTTGCTTCCATTTTCTAGACTCCCAGCTGGCCTGAGTTTCCCAGTACCCGCTGTGGTGCATTTGTTACACCACAGATACGGGATAGCAGAATGTGAGTGGAGGTGATGCACTCCATTTCATGACCTGCCCTTAAAAACCCTTCTCGGAACTGATCTTGCTCCTCAACCTGAGGACTTAAGGAGCTACTTTCCACAACCCTGTCACGGAATAAGGAAGAAAGCTTTTATTCTGGCTCACAGCTCAAAATTCATGGTGCATCATGGCAAAGGAGGAATGGTGGGGACAGCTCACAGCAAGAATGTAAGACGACTCATCACATCAGCAACCAGGAAGCATAGAGTCCATGCCAGAGCCGGGTCCAGGCTATAACCTCCTAGCCTGCTCCATGGACCTGTATCTGTCTACCTGCTACAATACAAGCCCCCATGTCCAAAAAGTTCACAACCTGACTAAACAGCACCACCAGCTGGGGCCAACTGTTCAAATCATATGAGTCCCTGAGGGCCATGTAACACTGAATGAAACCATAAAGTGCTGCATGTCATCTGTTAAAGATGGTGGAACTGCATGATTCGAGCCCCCAAAACTGCCAATGGAGCAAAGCCATCTGCAAACTAGAAACATCAGCCTGACTCAGTAGGAAGCAGCTTCTAGTGTACTAAAGCACTGAAGTTTCAGAATTATCAGTTTCTCACAGGAATGCACCCAATACCACCCCAACTAACACAGCAGCATCAACAACACCCGCAACTGATTCTCAAGACGATGCCCATCGGCCTTGCTGAGCTCAGCACAAACAGCATAGTCAAATCTAAAACAAGAAAATGGCACTCAGAGAAGAGCTTACAGCCAGTGAGCTGCTCTCCCCACTGCCCCACAGGGTTTTTCAGAATCACAGAGCCTGGGTTTATCAATCAACATTTTAGGGGGGGAAAAAGCTTTCAAAGGCTGCTGATGACACAACCAGAATACTCAAAAGGCATCATAAAATTCAAAACTGCTGTTTCTCCCCATTTAACTCTCAACAAAACTGAAAGTAAAGTTAATGTTGCCAGGTCTCTGCAAGGATTGCAGTTTGTTACCTATTGGGGATAATAAAACTGCCCTGGCTGAACAAATGAGCGGGTACTGCTTCATGTCTGTGGACAAACAAGAATGACATCGGACACGAAATCAGAGTATTTCCGCATAGTGTCAGGAGACAAAGATCAACACACAAAGTCAGCAGTGGTACCACGTCCCAGTAACAAGTTTACGAAGAAAGAAACTTCTTGCTGGGGGTTGGTGGCGCATGCCTTTAATCCCAGCACTCAGGAGACAAAGGCAGACAGATCTCTGTGAGTTGGAGGCCAGCCTGGTCTCCAGAGCAAGTGCCAGGATAGGCTCCAAAGCTACACAGAGCCCTGTCTTGAAAAACCAAAAAAAGAAAGAAAGAAAGAAAGAAAGAAAGAAAGAAAGAAACTTCTTAATCCCATTCACAATAGCTCCAAAAAATAACTATAAATAAACTTAGCAAAAGAGGTAAAAGGCCTCTACTGTGAAAACTTAAGAAATGGAAGAAGATATTAGATGGAAAGTCTGGCCTGTTAATAGGGTGATTGAAGGGATTAATATCATTAAAATGCCTATGTTACTAAAAATCTACAAATTCAGTGAACTTTCAATTAAAATCTTAATGATATTCTACACAGAACTAAAAAAAAGTCCTAAAATTAATAGGAAATCACAAACTGCCCAGAAGAACCAAAGTATTATCATAATACCTGAGTTCAAATTATACAACAGAGCCACAGTGACAAAGCTCGGGGCCAGCACAAAAGCAAACATGTAAACTAATAAAAATAGAATAGAGGACTCAGAAACAAACCTATATAGCTACAACCTGGTTTTTTTGGCAAATATGTCAAAAGCATACATCAGTGGAAAGATAGCCTTTTAAACAAATTATTCTTGGAAAACTTGACTTCCACAGGTTTCTACTAGAAACTGGGTCTACACCACTCAGCCTGAACAAAAGTCAATTCAAAAAGGATCAAAGGCGTCAATGAAACACATAAAACTGCTAGAGGAAAACAGGTAAAATACTTGAAGATATGGGCACAGTCAAGGAGTTTCTGAAAAGGACTTCAACAACACAGGAAAAAATCTCAAGAACTGACAGATGAGTTGCACAAAATTAGAGAGCTTTGGCACACACAGGAAAAAATCTCAAGAACTGACAGATGAGTTGCACAAAATTAGAGCGCTTTGGCACAACGAAAGAAAGAGAGAGAGAGAGAGAGAGAGAGAGAGAGAGAGAGAGAAAGAAAGACCAAAGTAAAGAGGCCTCCTATAGAATACAAATTTCTTTTTTACTACACGTCAGACGGGTTCATATTTAGGGTACATATCGAACTACAATAATTAACCATCCAGTTAAATAATCATCAACAAACCCAAATCATCCAGTTGACTAATGAGCTGATGAACTGAATGGATAGTTCTCAAAAGAATAACAAATGGCCAATAAGTACCAGAAAATGTGTTCAACATCCTTAGTCACCAAGAAAACACAAAATAAAATATCTTTGAGATTCAACACACACACACACACACACACACACACACACACACACACACACACACACACACTGACAATAGTGTAGGCAGAGAGGAAGCCTGACTCATGGATGATGGGAGCATTACTTTGAATGCCTATTATAGAAATCAATATTGAACTTCCTTAAAACACCAATAGAACTGGATGGCCCAGGTTTCCCAATCCTGGATACATACATACCCAAAGGACTCTAAGTAGGCATAGCACAGATAAACTTGCACATCTATGTTATTGCTACAATAGACAGAAAATGGAACCAACCCACATGTTCATCAACAGATGAGTGGGTGAAAACAATATGGAACATATACACAATGGAAATTATGTATCCACAAAGAAAAAAATTGTGATTGTGATATTTGCAGGGAAATTGGTGTAATTATAAATCTTTATGTTAAGTGAAATAAGCTAGAAAAATAAAGAACTCATACTTTCTCTTACAGGATGAACACACACCCTGAAACATATACATATACATAACATTGTATGGACTTAAAATGTTGTATTCATATATTTGGAAATACATATGTAAAAACAATGAGAAAAATAGAGGTTATGATTTCAGAGATAGAAAGTGGGTACACAGAAGGGCTTGGAGGAGGAAAGAGAGGGGGAAATAATGTAATTATATGATAATATCAAAAAATTTAAAATAGAAAAGGAAAAAAGATGACTATAGGAAAGAAAACATGTGTGCTTGTGTGTTTATATTTGTGTGCATGTATGTGTTTATATGTATATGTGGGTATTCAGGCATGCATGTGTGTATTTTTATTTGTATCATGAGAAAGAAGAGCTCTTAAAGGAAGTGGGGGAATGTGGAAAGCAATGGAATACCTGTGACAATAAATCTGGGTGGGAAAGGAACTAATTTATGGAAAGGAACCAGCCAACAGAAGGAAGGAGGCCAAGAGGAGGAGAAGTAATAAGAACAACATATAAGCATGAAGATGCCACAATGATACCCATTGTTTTGTATGCTAATTCAAAATTTATAAAGAAAGAAAGCAAATGGAAAGTATGCAAGAAGAGGGCTACATCTGGAGGAACACTAGACTTCCAGCCCTATCCATCGCTGGCCAGCCATTTGTCTCAGCTTTTGTTCCATTTGTCATCTATAAAACAGGACTCCCAAAGCCTGACTCATTGGAGTGAAGAGGTTTAGAGAAAATGAAGATTATGTGAACAGAGATCTGAATTTCCCAAGGTGTCTTCTAACCTTCATAGGTACATACATGAGAACACACACTAAGACCTAAGTAAAAGAAAGCTTAAGAAAGGGAGAGAAGGGAGGGGTGGAAGAGGAGAAAGAGTGAGAAAAAGGAGAAGGGAAAGAATGACATTATTTCTAAATTGAAATTAACACTTTGTCTTCAACATTATACATTTTTTAAGTCACATGCAGAAACTGTACGAGATAAGGAATAAGGTTGAGGTCGGGTATTTATTTGATGCAGTTGCCATAGAAACAGAGAACCTGGAGCTATCTTAAGTCAGTGACTCACCATAGTGTGGAATGATGCTCCAGGCCATGGCAGAGGCATAGATGCCCCCAGTCATCCAGAAGATGCCCAGCCAGCTAAGGTGTTCACCTCGTTTCTCCCGTGATAAGAACTCAGAAAAGTAGGCAAAAACAATTGGCAGGGAGCCCCCAATACTGAAGAAAGAAAACACCAGAAAGAGACAATCAAGTAATATACTAAAAAAGGTCATTCAGAAACCAAATTGCCTTCTACTGCACAGTTAGACTCTGTGGTGAAAAGCCCATTAATTTAGGAGACCAGCAACAACCAGGCTTGCTCTATATTTGGAAAGCAATCTTGGGTTGTTTGGGCTTTTAAAAGTTATTGCATTTATTTATTTATTTATTTATTTATTTATTATCTGTCTATTATGTGTGTGTGCACACACAAGACATGGTGTGATGCATAGGGGCTAGATGACAACTTGTAGCAGTTGGTTCTCTACTTTCTCTATGTGCCACTATGAAATTAAACTCAGTTCATCAGGCTTGGTGGCAGGCCCTTCAACCCACTGAGCCATGTTGTCTGCCCTTAACTTTAATATCTTTAAAATCAAGCAAAAATTTTTAATCCAACTGCTTCGTGAGGTATCACATGCAGCTAGAAGGCCAGAGGGGATGGACTTATGGTGGAAAACTGGTGCATACCCTATGCCTGAGATGAGTCTGCAGAAGAGAAAGGCTCCATATCCCTGCACGAAGGAGGAAAGGGAGGCAAAGGAGGCATTGATGGCCAAGGACATGCTGAGGACTCTCTTCCTTCCTAGTTTATCAGCCAGACCCCCCAGGATGAAGGCTCCTGCCATCATTCCCAGGTAGACTATCAGCCCTGTAAAGAAAAAAAAAAGACAAGGGAATAAAGAGAGAAGACAAGACTTTAGAAGAGCATTAATTACTTCCTACCCCCACCCTCAGGCTCTGTAGTGAATAACAAGAATTTGAGAGACCAGCCTGGTGCTGGCCATCAGCATTCATCACCCAATGCTATCTTTCCCCATCCAGGAAACCCCATGTCAAGCACATTAAAAAGAGGGATGGAGCAAGATCCCCATGGAAAATCAGAAACTCTCCAAAGGTGATTTTCTACACACCAGGCTTGCTCTATATTTGGAAAGCAATGTATACATTGCATGTATACAACCCAACACAGATCAACTATAGGATATCATACTATTCTAAAGGCTGTGCACTGCTTTTAAACAAGACAAATGTACTTTAAAGGCCCTCACATGCTATGTGATGTTTAAAGAGAGAACTTCCAGGGTAGATTGTATGGGAAATATTGCAAAAAGGGAAAATTATGTAAATGTAAAATAACAACTGGCAACAGCATTGGCTGACTTATACATACCCATGAGCAAGTTTTCCAAACTACAGTGTTTAGACTTCTTTAGAGAAATACAGTTATATAATTTATAACAGTGTGTGATGAGTCCAATTTCACTCCTCTGCATGTGGGTGTCTAGTGTTCACCACACTGTTTATTCACAAGATTGGCCTTCCCTTGTTGCATTTTATTGGCATTTTCCCAAAGACCAATCCACCATGTGGCTGCAGAGATGTCTCTCTGTATAAAAGCACTGGATGCTCTTTCAGAGAACCTGGGTTCAATTTCCAGCACCCACACAGCAACTCAAAACCATCTGTTACTCCAGTTCCAAGGGACCCAACACCCTCTTCTGGCCTCCTCAGGCACCAGGCACAAACATGGTGCACAGAAATTGATGCAGGCAAAACATTCATACACATTAAGTAAATTTAAATGCACATATTTAAAAAGATCAATCAACCCTAAATTTGTGGCTTTATTGCTAGGTCATAATTCTCTTCCACTGATTCTTTATTTCTGTGTCAGTAAAATTCTGTCTCAATCTTATAGTTTTGAAATATATATGAAGTTGGGTAGAGTGATGCCATCAACTTTGTTCCTTTATCTAGAGATTTCTTTGGCTATTCAGAGTCATATGTTTGATACAACTTTTACATTTTTTCCTAACACTGAGAAAGATGCCATTGGGATTTTGATAAGGATTGCATGTTAGATAGTATGAGGATTTTTAACAGTATCAGTTCTTCCAATCTATGGACAAGAGATATCTTCCCACTTACTGGTATCTTCTTCAACATCCTTTTTCAGTGTTTTATAGCTTAGTGTGTGGCTCTTTTATTTCCTTGCTTAAGTGTATTCTGAAGTATTTGTTGATGCTATTGTAAATGGCATTGGTTTTAATTTCTTTTTTTAGATAACTCACTTTTCATGTATAGAAACACTACTGATTTTTGTGTGTGGATTTCCCATGCTACAACATAACTAAATTTGTTCACTAGCTATAACAGGTTGCTTTTTGATGGTGTTTAGAATTTTTTCTATAGGGTTATATCATCATCAAACAGATACTTTTGTTTCTTCCCTCCTAATTTGGATGGCTTTAATTTCTTTTCCTTGCCTGAATGCTTTGTCTAGGATATTCCAGTACTAAGTGAAAAGAGTGGAGCATCCTGACCTTGCTCCTGGTCTTATTATAAAGTTTTCACTATTATTGAGCATGATATTGGCTCTGGGCTTGTCATTCATAACTCTTAATATGGTGATATGCATTTTTCCTTCCCCTGATTTGCTTTACGATTTTAATCATGGTGATAGGTTGCTTTATGTCAGCTTGACACGAACTAGTCACCTGAGAGAAGGAATCCCCAACTCAGAAAATGCCTCCCTTGACCAGGCTGTAAGCTTACAGAGCTGTAATATATTTTTTAATTAGTGACTGAGGTGGGAAGGTCCAGATCACTATGAATGGTGCTACCCTGGGTTGGTGGTCCTTGTTTCTACAAGAAAACAGTCTAAGCAAGCCATAGAGAACAAGCCAGTGAGCAGCTCCCCTCCATGGTCTCTGCATCAGCTCCTGCCTCCAGGTTCACACCCTGTTTAAGTTCCCGTCTTGACTTCCTTCAGTGATGGACTATGGCTGTGAAAGCATTAGCCAAATCAATTCTTTCCTCTTCAAGTTGCTTTTGGTCATAGTGTTGAATCATATCCATAGAAACCCTAAGTAAGACACACATAAGGAACTGTCTTTGCATAACACAAAAAAAGAATTCCACTTGATCATGGTGTATGGTCTTCCAAATTTGCTGTTGTATTTGATTTGATAATATTTTGTTGAGGACTTTTGTACAAAGGCTTATCTAGAACTCTGGCCTATAATCATCTTTCCTTAAGTTTTCTTTGTTTGGCTGAAACAGGCCCTCAGACTTCAGCCCAGTTGTCTCCATTATAGAAGCACCATTCAGGCCTTGAGACCCAGCATATAGGCAGCAATGGTTGCCAAAACAGGAACAAAGGCTAAGTCACTGGTTCCAGGATATGGCTAAGAAACTCCCTGACTGTACTTACCTTGCATTATCAGCAAGGATGTGGATTTTGTGCATAAAATCCCAAGAACTGTAAGGCTCAGGGCTGCATGATTTGGGTTCATCCCTCCATGCCACTGCTAGCCAGCACATAAAGAGTTTCTTTTTAATTTTGAGAGTGTCTGTACAGTGGTTGCTGAGGGGTTTGGTATCATAGTGATGGTAACTTTATAAAAGTGAGTTTGGAGATGCTTAAAATTGGGGGGAAAGAGTCTAAGAAAGATTGCTGTTAATTCTTCTGTTTGGTAGGGCTTTGTTATATGGACAAGTGTTTGATTACTGATTGAATCTCTACCAATTTTTAGTCTCTTCAGATTTCCTGTTTCTTGTGATTCAGTCTTAGCAGTATGTTTCTATGAGTTTATCTATTGCTGGTCATCTAATTTGTTAACACACACTTGTTCACAGAGGTCTGTTATTATCTTTTATATTTCTGTGGTGTCAGCTGCAATGTCCCCTCTTTCATTTATTTTTGTGAGTCTGCTCTCTTTTTCCTTAGGTCAGCCAAAAATGTCTTGTCTATCTTTGAAAAAATTAGCCTAGAGCTATTACATGTTACTGCTCCTTGTAGAAAAACATTGGCTAGATTTCTTTATGCTGTATTAGTCCATTTTTCTTCATTAGTCATCTCCAGGACAACCTGCTAAGTGGGGAATGGTCCCTTCATTCCAAGGAGATAAAAAATAAAATGTATGATCATCGCCAAGTGAAAAAATATGTGTCAAGTATTAAAATGTGGAAAAGGAATCTCACTCAGTTATGAGAAGGCTTCCAAGAAAGAAATATTATGCTCTTCTTGAAGTGGGTATTAAAGACTGTGCCTGTGGCTGGGAAAAAGGCTCAGTGAGTGCAATGCTTTTCATACAAGAATAAGATATTAATTCACATATCCAAATCCACATAAAAGCTTGTAATCCCAGATGGGAAACAAAGACAGGAGGATTCCAGAAGCTCACGGGCCAGCTAGCCTGCTATGGGCAGTAGAAAACAACAAAACAACTTAGTCTCAAAGTGGAAGTCCAGCTTGTCCTCTTATCTCCACGTACACTCATATACCTGAATGCACACACGTGTACACACCCACACATCATACACACACAAGACAATGCCCAGTGACACGTGCAAATCCAGGAAGGCAAAAAGAAACTCTGGTATGTCTGAGCAACCATTGGCATGTAGCTGAGTGTGAATGGAGTATAGTTAGTGTGGGGTACCTGATGGGGAACCAAGGCTAAAGTGTGTGTCTGTGTGTGTGATAGAGGAGGGAGCCTGAGTTCCTGCATCTCCAAGAAGCTCTCCAATGAGGCTGGCCCTACTGGTCCAGAAACAAGACTTCAAATAGCAAAAGGACTGACAGTCTTTAGCCACAGTGAGGACACTGGCCTCAGAACCCAGAGGTTTCATCTACCAAATGTATTGTTTTGAAGAAAAAGCTCTTGCCTTCAGGGGCAGGGGAGTCTTAGCTACCTCATTTGTAAACAATTTTCTGAACTCCAAGCCATCTTCCAACATTCTTTTGTTAAAAAAAAATACAAATCATGGAAGATGGGGTTCTATAGACTTGTCACTTAAAACTCTTCAGGTTAAAAACAAGCCTCACCAGATGCCTTAGAGGGAAAAGATGCTTACCACAGAGCCAGACAACCTGAATTCAAGCTCTGTGACCCGCAAGGTGGAAGGAAAGAGCTGAATTCCCCCAAATTGGCCTCTGATTTCCACATGAATGCCATGGCACAACACACACAAAATAATAAATAAATGTGTAAAAATTAAACATAAGCCTAAACATTGATGTCTAATAAAACTCCTGAGGGCCTCACAAGACATGTTTTTAACCAGAAGTTGGCTTCCAGGTTACCCATTTGCTATCCCAGAAGCAAAGACAGTGCCAGGCATTAAGCTGTTGTCACTAAGCCCCAAAGCTGTTCTGGACCTTACTTGACACTGCTTCCTTCTAACTTCTCCCTTCAGAGGATGTGAGAGAGGGACTCGAAAGCAGGTTAAGGTCCTCTTCATCTCATCCTGTTGAGCCTCTGATGGCTTCATCATTGTGGGTCTCACAGCAGCCTTTCCTCCTCATGGTAATAGTTGAATCCAATTAGCAGAAGCCGCTACTAAACTCATTTAGAACCTGTCTTTAGCTGAAGAAATTAAGATAATAAATTTGGAAAATTAGAGTGCAGTGAAGTTATCAAAAATTACTTTAGCTCAAAGCAGATGAGTGACTACTTAGAGAGATGGAATCTATCATCCTTTAAGGCTGCACTTCTGAAACACAGCTCCAGGGTAGCCCTTCTCTGGTCTGATTAATTATAATAATTCCAGTACCTTCTCTTTGTGTCTGCAGTCCCACAGGTGCTAGCTACACCTTCCTTTCACCATTTAAGCCATGCTTTTAAGAAACAGTTCATTTACCCA